CTGCATAATGTGGATGAACTTGGAGGACATTATGCTGAGTGAAATCAGTCAGTCACAGGACAAATATCGTATTACATCATTATTGTAAAGTCAAGGAAAGGTTTATATACTGAAGGAAATTTTCTTTGCTGGTAGGGGTGGGAGGGGAGAGGAGGGAACAGTTAGATAGGTAGAGGCAAGTATTGATTTGGGTGAAGAGAAGGGCAATGTACCAAATGTGAGTGATCACCACGGTGGCACTGAGGAAGAGGAAGACATAGAGAGGTGCGTGGGAGATACAGACAACAAAGACAAACCCTTTTGCTCTTACCGTACTGTGCTGTCAGTGAAGGGGAACATGGATATACAGGAGGACAGAGGAGCAGACAGGCAGAACTATCAGGTATGTCTATGCAGGGGCAGCGTGCCCAAGACCGTGTACAGAGTTGGCAGACAATGTTTCTACAAGTGTATTTGTATGTTCTGTAAGAATTCCCAGGTATATAGTAGAGCTGATAAGGGACAAGGTTGTAGTCACTTCTTGGCCAAAGCTAGCTACCTAGAGGGAGTGAGTAGTTAGACCTTTGGGCTCAGGACCATAGTCACAAGGGACATCAAGCTCAACTGGCATAACATACTACACAAAAACACTGTTCCAAATCCTACTTTGGTGAGTAGTGACTGGGATCTTAAAAGCTTGCAAGCAGCCATCTAGATGCAATGATGGGTCTGTTCTCATCCAGAGCAAAGAAGAATGAAGAAAACCAAGGACATGTGGAAACAGTTAGTCCAAGTGACTGGTACACCAGGCAATCCTCAGCCTATACAACTATGAGACCAGAAGAACTAGAAGGTGCCCTGCTACCACTGTCAACTACTTGGAAGGCATATCTGTAGGAGATCCTGGATAGAGTAGGAGAACAACGTGGCACAAAACTCAAAATCATTAAAAAAAAAAAAAAAAAAAGGCCAGGTTTGCTGGTCTGATACAGCCAATGGAACCCCTGAGACTATGGCCCCTAGCTGCCCTTCAGGTCTGGAATTGAACCCACTCCTATGGCTTCCAGCCAAACAAAAGACAGGCATATGAGGTGAACATTTACACTAGGTAGATACACTCCTTGGAGAGAACAATCATGGGAGAATAGAAGGGCTGTGTATGCACAGGGAGATAGCTCAGGGGGCAGGAGTGCATGGGAGGGAAGCACACAGGGAAGAGGAAACTATGGGGAGGAAGTGGGAGGGGAGCTGTTGCACTGTGGGAAATTGCAGTCAATGTAACGAGATAAAGTGTATGTGAACTGCTGTATGGAAAGTGAATTTGCTCTGTAAACTTTCACCCAGATCACAATTAAAAAAAGAAAAAGGAAAAAAAAAAGTGGTTGGCTTTAAAGAATAGGAATTTATTTTCTTACTGTTCTGGAGATCTTAGAATTCAGGGACTGGAGAAAGCAGATGTTTTGAGGTATCTGTCTAACTCGCACTCTGCAGAAACTTGCCACTCAGCCCCTGCTGGCCTGGGGAGATGTGTGCAGTCAGGGTGCTCACTGTGGACCTCTGCCCTTGAACCTATCTTCAGGTTACTGGAAACCTATTAGCTGAATGGAGCTTCTTCTCCAAGGTACTGGGGGCTGAGACGCTGAGTTTCTGTTGCTTTTCTATGTCTATATCCATCAACTCAAATAAAGGGTGACTGTCACAATAATGGCAGGATGCCAAAGAGAAGGGTCACAAATTCTTGCTCCTGAGATAGCTAGCTGGGGCTGCCTCTCACAGCTACTCTCCTTAGGGTGGTTTGGCTACTGGATTTGTAGATTCCCTGAGATCTGTACCCTGCCAATAACTTCCCCTTTTATTTGAGCCAGATATGGTAGCCTTCTGTTCCCTTTAACCAAAGATAACCAACTGGAACCCTGAACATAAAACAAAACCAAACTTATTGCATCAAGTCAATTCTGACTCATAGTGACCACACGGTGAGAGCTGAACTGTGCTCCACAGGGTTTGTAAAGCTGTGACCTTGGGGAAGCAGGTCACCAGACCTTTCCTCCAAGGCACCTTTGGGTGGGTCCCAACAGCCAACGTTTTGGTTAACACAGGTGTGCTTAACCCTGTGCACCACCCAGAGACTCCTACTCTGAACAGAGAGGTCATAAAATTCACCGCAGAAGGGGAAAGGGAGCAATGCCCCCTTCACTAAGAATCCAGCCCTGTAAACTGGGCCAGCCTCAGAAACCAGGCAGGTCTGCAGAGTGCACACAAACAGCTCAGAAAGAAGGTTTTCTGCACTGCCAGAGAGGTCAACGACCTACCCAGTGCTTACACTGCTGTCAGATTGCAGATGCACGCTCACAAATGCCTGTATCATCGTGCAGAGGGTTGAGGCCTGTTCACGCAGGGCTAGGTACCACATGTTAATGGGGCTGCCACCCTTCATCTGCTTTCGTGGTTGGAGCCAGATTCGTATTGCTTGATTGTTTATGGGATAAAGCGGGAGACTGGGCGTTTGCCTCTGTCGACTCCCGGAAAACACAAAGTGCAGCCACGGACAGCTGCGTGGCTGACTGACGACTATCGTGTGGGCACCACACTTTCATCTCTAACAAAGTCTCGTTGAAAATGGTTTCACTTTTTAAAATTCTAATAACAGCAAGATGTTAATAATGGAGAAATTGTGCACAGGGAGAAAGGGAGGCACACGGGAACTCTCTGTACCTAATGTGCCATTTTTCTGCAAACCTAAAACTGCTTTCATAAAGTGCATTCATAATCATATTATAAAATCTAATAACAAGAGTCAGGAAGATGTGCACAGAACTGTGGTTATGTTGGGTTACTACCAGCCTCGCTGACCAGGAATGGCTAACATCACAATTAAACAAAGAAACCTCCGCTAACTCTGAAGCACACAGTGTGGAGATGACCACGTAAGACATGGCAGAACTCCACCAACGCTGGCAGTTCAGAAGGTCTATGGCTATTGATTTGGGCCTAATGCTTGAAACCAGTGTTTTTCAGCTTTCATTGCCTACAGACAATGGTATGCAGATGGGCCTCTCGTATTTCTTAATTTCAGCTCCTCTGGAGGATGACTAAGAGCCCTAGTGGTATAGTGTTCAAAGTACTCAGCTGCTAACTGAAAGGTCAGCTGCTAACTGAAAAGCCACCAGCTACTCCGTGGGAGAAAGATGTGGCAGTCTGCTTCCATCATGATTTGCAGTCTTGGGGTACACCATCCGATCTGCAGCCTATACGACTATGAGACCAGAACTAGATGGTGCCTGGCTACCACTGTCATCCACTTGGAAGGGAATCTATGTAGGAGATCCTTGATAGAGAGGGAGAACAATGTGGAACAAAACTCAAAATCATTTGGAGAAAAAAAAAAGGCAGGGGGACCAGGTTTGCTGGTCCGATAGAACCTGGTGGAACCACTGAGACTATGGCCCCTAGCTGCCCTTCAGGTCTGGAATTGAACCCACACCTGGGGTTTCCAGCCAAACAAAAGACAGGCATATGAGTTGAACATTTACCTCAGGTAGATACACTTCTTGGAGAGAACAGTCATGGGAGAAAGAAGGGCTGCTTATGCACAGGGCGACAGCTCAGGGGGCAGGAGTGCATGGAAGGATGGACACAGGGAAGAGGTAACTATGGGGAGGAGTTGGGAGGGGAGCTGTTGCATTGTGGTAAACTGTGGTCAATGTCATGAGACAAAGTATATGTGAACCGCTGTATGGAAAGTAAATTTGCTCTGTAAACCTTCACCCAAATCACAATTAAAAAAAAAAAAAGATTTGCAGTCTTGGAAACCCTATGGAGCAGCTGTACTCTGTCTTATAGGGTCACTGTGAGTTGGAATCGTCTCCATGGCAGTGGGTTTGGTTTTGGTTAGAGGATGACTACCAAACTCCCTCACCATCCACGGCATGCTATGTGAATGTCACAGAACCCATATGTCAAATCAGATCATCTTAAATTCCAACTACTGGCAGCATGTCAAGTTTAGGTGAATAGCCATCTAGATATGAATATTATTCAGGGTAGCGTAGTGCCTAAGACACTTGACTGCTAACCAGAAGGCTGGCGGTTCAAACCCACCAGCCACTCCTTGGAAGGAAGGTTGGGCAATCTACTTCTGTAGTGATACCGCCTCAGAAACCCAAAGAGGGTCGCTATGAGTCAGGTCCAACTTTACGTCACATAACAATAGTAACAGCAAAGTAACCACCAAGTGACAGGATGATAGAATTTATCTCATCTAATAGTACCAAGTGAGCATCCAGGCTGGTGGGTTGCTTTGCTCCAGAGTTATTCACAGATGCAAGCTCTTACCATAGCTTGGCTCTTTCATTTCCTCTGGAACTGTCCTCACCCATACGGTCTGCTGGGGAAGTAGACAAGTTCATGTTGCAGTTCATGGAATGAGAAAGAGAGGGACTCCAGGGAAGCAGGCTTATTGCTTAAGTTTCAGGTGATGACCTGAAAGGACAACATCCACACATCCCGCTGGCCTGAATTTAGTCCCAGAGCGACATCCAACTGCAGGGAATCCTGGGTAATGTCATTTCTGACTGGGAGCTATGGCCCCAGCTTAAACTCTACTGCTGTGAGAGAAAGCGTGGATAGGTTTTGATGGCTAGCCATCACATGTTGTGATAACAGACAGAAAAAGATACTGCCTCTTACAGATTAAAAAAATGCCACACAGTCTTGTAACCAAAAAATATTTACTAAGCGCCTTCGTGTGCCCTACGCTATTACATGTGTAAGAAAAAGATTATTAACACATTGTGGGTGAAATTATGCAACACTATAAATACATTTTTCCACTTTGCAAAGACCTTTTGCTCTCTCAGATAATAAAAGGCAAATGGAAAAAAAGGCCAGGTTTTTACCTTTGTATATAGCAGGAATAATATTCACACCTGTTGAATCCCAAGAATTGTCATTACTGTTGCTCTATGGACAAGTACCCACAAAATGCCCTTGGATAATTATTTGGACGTGGGTCCCATAAATCATAACTTGCTTGTGGCGAGTTTATGCAGCTTCAGTAAGGACTCTTCAGAAGACAACAGTAGATCATCCAAATTATACTCAACCTCAAAGGTGGGTCTTTTTCCTAAAACAATTAAAGCAACGAATATTGCAAATTTTGCAGTCATTCCCCTGATCTGGTAAGTTGCACCATTTTCAGGGTTCGTGTACTCAAAGCAATGAAAGAGAAACTGATGATCAAAAAGTGTCAGGTAATTCTTCTGGTAGACATGTGGATGCAGAAAATAGTCCAGAGGCACCAGGAACACGCCCTTCACTTCATCCGGATTAGGCTGGGCCTGGAAGTCCTGGTCTATAAATCCCACAACTGGGGTTACAAGTATCTGTTTCTGAAAGCAGAAAACAAGACATACAAATTAAGAAACAAAGTGATAGTGTTTCACTTTGGATTCAAATATTAAAATCATGTCACTTCTACATAAGCCAATAGGCCAAAGGTGGGTAGGGAAGGGGCAAAAACTTGCTCCAGAAATAAACTGTGTCCCCTGTGAAGTGGGGATTGTATCTGCCTCACCTGAAGTGGCAGCTATAGGATGACTCTGAAAAGAATACCTTTAGTAAGGATGAACTGATACAAGCTTGGGGATGGTAACTTGGTGGTACTATAAAGATATGGTTCCTTTGACCTTGCAATTGCATTTGTGTACAACATCTGTACAACAGACTCCTACCAGTGAAAAAAGATAAAGTACACCCTTGAACCATTATTTGCAATCACCCTAAACTCTAAAGTTGTCACTCCAATTGATGGGCACATAGGCTAAATTATGGACACAGTAACATAAAGAGGTACTAAACCAAAAAACCAAACTCATTGCCATGGAGTCATTTCCGGCTTGTAGCAACCCCCTTGGGTTTCTGAGGCTGTAAATCTTTACAGAAGTAGATCACCCCATCTTCCTTCTGTGGAGCAGCTGGTGGGATTGAACTGCTGACCTTCAGTTAGCAGTCAAGTGCCTTATCCCTACACCACCAGAGCTCAAAGAAGTACTACACAGTCTGTAAAAACAAGTGAGATAGATGTCTTTCCATGTTAATATAGACAGAGACATGCTATCTTATCAGTTGAAAGTAAAATATTACATAATACTAATTGTGGAATATTCCCATTTATGGGAAAATCACACATGTATATGTATTATTTTATATGTCTATAGTAAATACGGGGCATTGATTGCTATTTCAAACCGTAACTGCAAATAACCATGGGTTCTGTTAGAGAGGCCCTCTTGTTCTGCGGGGAACCTTGAGGGGAACATGGGGTCTAGGTATAAGAGCTGTAACGGCTGCACGGCTTTGAATTAGGAAGTGAGAATTTGGAGTTCCTGGATGTGGAATTCCACCCACATTCCAGAAGAAAGTATGTGGAGAAGCCAGCAGTAAGTTGTGAGGCTGGGACACTGAAGAAGGCTAAACAGGTTCTGGAGAAACCTCCAGAGGAGGGGAGAGTCAGAATGTGTTTAAGAACAGGGGCGGCTCAGACCCCTTACTGAATGAGTGATGGAAGTACACGTGTGGCCCAGAGGGACGGTGGTCATGTGGACTTTAGAGGTTCTTAGGGGAGGGAATCTGGGGTCATAAGTTACCTGAAGGGGCCCTGATGGCACAATGGTTAAGCGCTTGGCTGTTAACCAGCAAGTTGGTGATGCAAACCCACCAGTGGCTCTGTGGGAGAAAACACCTGGGATCTGCTCCAGTAAAGGTTTCACCCCAGGAAACTCTCTGGGGCAGTTCCACTCCATCCTGAAGTAAAAGTAGACCAGAGAAGAACGAATAGACCTGTCTTGGAGAAAGTACAGCTGAACGGCTCCTTAGAAGTAAGACGGGCCAAACTTCATCACTCCTACTTTGGTCATGTTTTCAGGAGGGACCAGGCCCTGGAGAAGGCTATCATGCTTGGTAAAGTAGAGGGCAGTGAGAAAGGGAAGACCATCAACGAGATGGAGTGACACACTGTGGCTGCAACAGTGGGCTCAAGCAGCACAACTACTCTGAGGATGATGCCAGCCCCAGCACTTCCTTCTGTTGGTCACGAGGTCGCTCGAAACCGGGCTCACCTTGCACCTCACAACACTCTGTCCTATGAGTCAGAATTAACTCAGGGCACACAAATTGCCTGAGACCAGAGACCACGTTTCCCTTATTCGGTTGTTCCACCAGCACCATGCACTGTGCCTGGCACAGGGTACATGTTCAGTTCCCCAGAAGCAGGCTCTAAGAGCTCAGATGCAAGACATTTCTTGGGCTGGGGAGAAACTGGCAAGGGGAGCAGCGAGCAAAGACAATGGCGGGAGGGAAGAAGGCAGGCAAGAGTGAGATTCAGACAAAGTCCTAGCCTCCACCCGATCCTGCTGGCTGTGGCCATTCTTTCTGCACTCCAGGGCCAGGCAGTCAGCTTCGCCGGAAGTAGGCTCCCAGGCACTTCTGCTCTCTGTGCAGGCGGCAAGGTCCCCAGCAGCCCCAGGGCCTGCCTTGGGAAACAGCTGCTGGTCAGCAATAACAGACGCAAAGCACACAGGCTGCAGGAACATGACCTGGTCTGGACAGAACTCCAGCACTGCATGCTCCTTATAATTTGTTGTTTGCCAACGGCTGCTAACCTAAAGGCTGGCAGTGTGAACCCACCTGTGGCATTGTGGAAAATACACCTGGTGGCCTGGTTCGGTAAAGATTACACCCTATAAGACCCTGTCATAGCTGGGGTGACCATGAGTTGGGGCAGCTTCACTGCAGCAAACAATTACCATTTAACAAGCACATCGCTGAGCAAATAAAGCTGCAGTCTAGAAGCCACCTCACCTTGCAGAAGCTTCAACAACTAAAACTTGGAGATGTGAAGTGCCATGCTCAAGGCCACACCCAGCTAATGTGTGCCAGAGGCCAGGGTTTGACCACAGACCTGTTGTCCATACTTCTGGGCACAGTGCTTACATTCTGGGAAGACAGGAATGTCACCTTATCTCAAAGAGGGCACTCCAGCCTTGCGGGCGGGCTAAGCGCTGCTTCAGCAACACCCAGCAGCAGCTCAGCTTTTTATTACCTCCCAAGGCCTGAGCTAGGGGCACATCCTCATTGTTGCCAAACCGCTGGGCACGTGCGAGACAAGCATGGCCCTTGAACTAGTCTCTCAGGGTCTCAGTGAATCGGGGGGGGGGGGGTGTGTGCGTGGGGGAGAGCATTTAATCAAAGACAGTAAGGGAGGTAACAGTTTAAGACTGGATATTTCATATGGCGTGTGGGGGACATTAGGAAAGTGAGAGAGGACTGACGGGGTGGGGACGCAGCGTCTGTGGACACATGGTCTCTAAAGGCATAGCTGGGTCTTGGGAATCAGTGGGTAGCATGTGCAGAGGCTAAGACCAAGGTCCCAGATGGACAGGTGGCAATGCAATCCCCTCTCTGCTCAGTTCTAGTACATGGTCTTGAGGGTACCACTTAACTCCTTTGTCTCAATTTCCTCATCCATAAAACGGAGTAATAAATGTCTCTAGGGTTGGTGCAGGGACTTAGTTACAGCAGGTTGCCACCTTGGCACTGCAGTTTGGACCGGATCACTCTTTGTGGTGGGGGTTGTCCTGAGCCTCACAGGGTGCTTGGCAGCATCTCTGGCCACCAGCCACTGGATGCCAGCAGCAGCTGACCCCTTTCCCCCGTGGAGACAACCGAAAATGGCTCCAGAAATTGACAGATGTGGGGCTAAGGGGTGGTATCTCCTTGGTAGAGAACTGAGTTAGATTATGCTTAAGTGTTCAATAAAGGGTGTTTTTGCACTGTGTTTAAAAAACTAGCAAGAGCCAAAACACAAAACAATTCTCTTTAGCACTTCCAAACGTAGCATACCTTTCTTTAGGGCCTTCATTCAAACTTCCCCATTATGGTAAGATCAGCATTATGGCAAGAGCAGGTCATTTTAGCCAGGACCACTGGCAGTGTCTGCCCTACAGAAATTTCCTGAAGATTCAGGTAATCTGAGGTACTCACTGAGCATAGCATGTATTCTACCCACTCACATGCTGAACACAGAGCTCCCAGGGACCTTAGGAATGGAGTTACTATCACTTAGGGAACATTTAACCATACTGACTCAATTGGTCAAAAGAGTTCAGAAATCCCCACAATGTGCTGGTGGATTTGCAGAAATCTGCTGAAGGGTCCCACTTGGCAAACAAGTGAGGAGGAGGTGATTGACACATTTCTAGTTCTGCTCCAGTGTTCCCTTTTTTCCTTCTGTTTCATTTAGCAAGCATTCACTGAGTGGCCACTTCCCAACTAAACCTCCTATTCAAGATGACCTTTCTATTTCTGAAATTGACCCAATCACGGCAGATGTTGTTCGGCGTCATTGGCCTTCACAACACGGTACCATTAAGTTTTTCAGGCAGAACAGAAGGGATGACTTGATCCCTTCTAATTGTTAGCAATCAGTGCAACTCTTCTTTTGAAATGAAATTTTACCTGAAAACCCAACAGATAAAAAGAGTTTGTGTTTACCCTTGATACTATGTGATGGCAGAAGGCTGGCGGTTCAAACCCACCAGTCACTTCTCAGAAGGAAGATGGGGCAATCTACTTCCGTAGTGATACTGCCTCGGAAACCCAAGGGGGGGTCACTATGAGTCAGGTCCGACTTGACGGCATATAACAACAACAACAACAATTATGTGATGGGAAAGGCACTTTACTTCTGTAGTAAAACAAAACAAAAGCCTACCAAAAACAGAAACCAGGTGCGTTTTAGTTAAGTCTGAGTCATGGTAACCCCATACGTGTCAGAGAACTGTGCTCCATAAAAGGTTTTCAAGGTGCTTCTGAAGAGACGCTAACTGCCAACGTACTGGTTAACAGCTGAGTGTATTAACCATCAACATCACCCTGGGACTCCAGCAAGCATTCCCCAGAGTCTGTAACTACAGTTTAATCTAAATTGAGGGACAGTCCATAAAACATCTGACTGTTAGACCTCAAAATTGTCAAGGTCATTTCAACACGGGAAGTCCGAGAAGTTATCACAGTCCAGAGGGGCCTACGGAGACAACTAAATGCAATGTGGGGTCCTGGGATGGAAAGAGGACATCAGCAGAAAAACTAATAGAAGCCAAACGAAGGGTGGTGCCTCCTTAACAGTGGCACAGTCCTGTTGGCTTCTTGGCTGGGACAAATGCTAGAACGCCAACAACAGGGGAATCTGGCTACGTTTTCTGTACTATTTTTGTAACTTCTCTGTGTCTCTAAAGCTATTCTGAAATCAAAAGTCTTTATTAAAATCAATACCAATAAAATGATGTTGTTAGTCTAAGTTCAAATTGACAACATTTACCTTTTCTAAAGTCAGTTAGGAGGACAGGAAGATTGTTGTGGTGAGCCAGAAAATCAACAGGATTAGATTTTGGCTCTATCCGCCCCCGAATTCACTGTTATTTTGTTTTAGGCTGTTTTGGTATATATTATTAAGGAAATCCTCCCTGTTACAAATAGTAATAGTTTTTCAAAGACTGGCATAGTGATCTCAGGGTATGGGTCAAGTCCCATGACCTGGAGAAGTCTGATTCCATGTTATGTCATGGAATGAGTCATCTTTAGTGGCCCCCAAGGGGTTCTAATTTGCTATGTATCACACTTGGTTGTGTGTGACTTTTTCAAGTGACTTCTCTAAATATGAAGTGGAGAAAAATAAATGTAAATTGGGTGTTACTAAAATGATTTGGAAGGATCTTCAGGGTCCCAGCACCCAGTTTGAGAACCACTGTTCCAGTTCAACCCTTTCAGTTTGGCATTTGGGAGAAAGAGGGGCCTGGAGAGGAAAAGGGGCTTGCCCAAGGCCACTCAGCTCACGAGGGACAAAGCCCACACAAGAACCTCTTCTCTTGAGTCTGACGGCAGCACTCTCTAAGGCCATGTTTGACCAAACGTGGAGTCCTGAGGATGGTGGATAAACTGGGAGATCTGCGAGAGACTGGGAGACCTAGCTCCATTCCAACCCTTACATCAAAAATCGCCGGCACCAGGCAGCAGACGACCTCCACTTGGCGAGGATCCAGGCCCACCTCCTCCTGGGCTTCCCGGAGCGCCGTGGCTACCTCATCCTCGTCTGTGGGTTCACACTTTCCTCCGGGGAAACAAACTTCTCCTGGAGACCTTCTTAGCTGGACAGTGAAAGAACAAAACTACAGTGTGTGATTCCAAGTATGCGGCCACGCATTCATTCGTTCAACAGGTATTTACTGGACCTTATTCTGAGCCAGTGACCCTTCCCATGGTGTTGGTAATAAGTGGTGAACGAGACCAAAAATAAAAGTTCTTCCTGATTCCTTTTAAAAAATGAACTTCAAGAATTTCCCTCACCCTCAATTCTTCTCTGTGACCCTAAAAGACATAAAAAAAACCCCAACGTCAGTGCCATCGAGTCGATCCCGACTCATAGCGATCTCGACTGGGTTTCAGAGGTAGTAGATCTTTAAGGAAATAGATCACCCCTCTTTGGTCTGACGAGTGGCTGCTGGGTTTCAACTGCCAACCTTCTGGTTAGCAGTCAAATGCTTTAGGCACTGCGCCACCAGAGCTCTTCTAACAGACATCATACACATATACGAACAAAATTTACAGTGATGGGGTAGGAGATGAAAGAAAAGATAATGAAAAGGGCAATATTAGCAACAGATAATCTTTTCTGAGTGTCTACAACCTTCTGGGCAGGCTGCCTCAAAGGAGTCTTCTCACAGAGTCCTCAGAACAGTTCTGTAAGCCACTATTCTCAGTCCCACTGTTAGAGGAAGGAACTGAAGCTCAGAGAAGTTAAATAACCGAGCCAAGTTCAGCCGGAAGGTAAACCAGTGTTTAACGCTAGACCCATTGCTCCTAATCAGCATACCCTACACTAACTAAGCACTTACTTAAAACACAAAAAGCAGCTCTCGTGGCATTGTGGTCAACACATTGGGTTGCTAACCAAAAGGTTGGCAGTTCAAACCCACCAGCCACCCCATGGGAGAAAGATGAGGTAGTCTGCTTCCATGAAGATTTACAGCCTTGGAAACCCTATAGGGCAGCCTCATCAGTGACTATGAGTCAGAATCGACTCAACGGCAGTGGTTTTAAAACACAGAAAATCAGGTTACTGCACCCATTAGCACTGATCTATGTTGACACCTTGATGTCTCTCTGCACATGTCTGTACAAGGGTCTCTCTTTTTCTTGCATCGCCCCTTTCCACCTATACCCCGATTGCATTTCTTCCGACTTCAGAACTGGTTTTGTCTCCATTTGTAGCATCCTAAATTGGTTTCCATCTTACCTGTCTCTAAAATGATTTTTCCAGTACTGGCGCTCCAGCACTGCCCAAGATGAAATTTCTCACCAGCACAGCCAGATAGGGTTTACCATGCGATTAAATTAGGTTTAAATACTTAATTTTTAAAATGTGACATCTGTACACCACATTCATGTTCACTTAATAATCAAGGGCACAGCTACTCGGGGTGACACCTAAGAGTAGAGGAGAAACCCACTCGCTTGTGGTTCGGTCCTGTCTAGATTCCCCACAACGAGCTTCTAGTACTTTGTTCTCTGTCTAATACCATATACACATACATCTCTCTCTCTCTCTCTCTCACACACACACACAGCGCTTCGTCTGTGCTCACAGGCAGAGGTAGGAACAGACTTGCCTTTGAACCTTGATTTGCATCACCTCATGTGTTTAAGTCACTGCTGCCTGACTCAGACTGAAAAGAATCCAGACAAGTCTAATCCCAAATCCCCCAAACACCATCTGGTTCCACAGCTTTTTCTGCTAATGAGATACTTTTCATTATTCTCCTTAAAAAGTGACATTATTAGGTCCCATTTTGTTTTTGTACTTTGAAAACCTTGAAATTACTGCTTTTCCAACTTTCCCTCTAAAGTACCCCTGAAAGCAGGAGACAGTGACCACAGCGTACATTTCTTTAAAGTTGCACATGTATCTTAAAACTTCAGGCCACATCTGCCACTTGGCACTAATAACAGCTGACATTTACTAAGTTTTTTCAAATGCCAGGACTGTTTTAGTTGCTTTCCATTTATTAGCCTGTAATCCTCATGGCAGCCCTATGGATTAGGGACTAATATTTTGTCCCCATTTTACAGGTGAAGCAACTGCAGCACAGAAAGGTTAAGTATCTAGGAGACTGTCATATAGCAGGAAGGGGGGAGAACCTTCATTCAAACATGGGCAGGCAGGCCCCAGAGCCTAGACTTTTAACATTTGTGCCCTAGTATTTTTGCATAATACCTGAGGTGGAATTAGTTTAAAATAGTGGTTCTCAGTGGTGGCAATTTGCCACCCCCCATAAAGCAGTTAGTAATGTTTGAAGACATCTGTAACTGTCACAACTGAGGGGAAGGTGCTACTGGCATCTAGTTGAGGAAAGGCCAGGGGTGCTGCTACACCTCTGTGATGGACAGAACAGCCCCTACCACATGCAAAAAAAAAAAATAAAAACCAAACTCACTGACATCAAGTTGATCCAACTCACAGCAACCCCCCCTTGGGTTTCCGAAGCAGTATCATTACGGAAGTAGATTGCCCAATCTTCCTTCCGAGGAGCAGCTGATGGGTTTGAACCGCCAGCCTTCTGGTTAGCATTAGCAGTCAAATGCCTTAGGCACTACGCCACCAGAGCCCCCTACCACATATCCAGCCCCGAATGCCACTTGTGCTGAAGTTAAGAAATGCTGGTCTAAAAGTATTTTAAATTACGTGCTAGCCGAAATACTTAATTTTCTTTCCAAAATCTCTCCCCACAGTGCCATGCTAACCTGTGGCTTACTGAACCCCTCAAACAGCACAATTTTGAAAGTCTATTTGAGAATCGTGTGCAAGAGACAAACATTAGTGGAGCCTGAGATGTCGACGGCTGGAGCCTTCTCGTCCACCTACCTTCTCTGACCGGAGGGTGAATAACAGATGGAATTTTCCTTCTTTAGCCAACAGTGGTACAAGGACGGAACATCTGTTGGACAACAGGTGAGAAAATCTGGTCCCAACATCATGCTTTCGTAAGCGGGCCTTAGCCTCGTCTATCAAGCTGCTTCTAAAACGGAAACATACAAAACAAACATTTTATTACCCTGAGTTACGGTAAGAAGTTTCTCTTCCGGCCTGTCTCTGCTTTGCTGTGCATCTGGGGTTATTAAACATTTCTGAATGAGTTTTCTTATTATGGCTGAAATAATAGTACTTGAATCACATAGTTGTTGTTGATAAGATTACATGAGGCAAAAAAAACAGCTCAGCAGTTTAGTACATAGGTTCCCAAGTCAAATTGTGGTAAAGTATTTTTTCAACAATGCAGTTCTTAAATGTTGAAATCCATAACTATTTTCAGGAAAGATATGTTTGAACAAGTTATTTTATGGTTAAATCACTGTCTCTTAATCTGGCCCTTGTGTTAGAGACACAGACCCTTCTGTCTCCAACCGCTGCACAGCAATGGCTCCCAAACTCTAGTGGAGTCAGAATCACCTGTAAGACTCATGACAGCACAGATTGCTGGGCCTCACTGCCAAGTTCAGATTCAGAAGGTTTGGGTGGGGCCTGAGAAGGTGCATTTAAATCCTAAGTGAAGCTGCTGCCGCAGATGAAGGGAACACACTTTGAGAACCACTATTTGATCACATGCAAGGGTTTGGATTTAAAACCACCGTATGAGAGCCTAGGGAGTTCTAGTGGTGCTGTGGTTAAAGCACTGGGCTGCTAACCAGAAGTCAACGTTCAAACCCACCAGCCTCTCCGCAGGTGTTAAGATGCTTCCATAAAGATGTATAGCCTTGGAAACCCTACAGGCAGTTCTACCCTGTCCTCAAGGGCTGCATGAGTCGGAATCGACTTGGTGGCCATGGTAGGAGAGCCTCAGTTGTGAGGCTGTTGGTTTGCAGAAGGCTGCAGTCTGCAGCTTAGAGTCCTAGCTCCATCTTTAGTTGTGACATCCATTCAGATCCCATTTTAAGTTACTTCCTTAATGCTCACTGACCTATAAACAAACATAATCAAGCAGCTAAAGAAATGGTTTTCTTTGTGGTCAGGCACAGGTGTGGGAAGAGTGGCCCCTTGAAGAGGTTCTTGTCACATGACCCTTACCAGAAATTTCCTCTGCCAGCAGATGCCAGCAACATGTGTGCCTAAGGGCTATCTTAATAATTTCTGACTAGGGGAAGACATTTTTTGACATCCTGATGAGTACCCTGAAACCTCCTAAAAAGCACATACCTTTGCAATTACATACTGTAGCCACTGCCTGCAACTTACATATACTATGCAAACCAATTGTAGCAAAAGCCTTGCTTTGAGACTTCCTGCCTATCACTTCTCTCTCTGCGTGTTCTCTTATAAACTGAAGCTCCTGACTTAACCTTATAAAAATGTGTTTGTATTTGTGCTGCTCCAGACAGCTTGGTCTCACTTCCCCTGTTCCCCACAGCTCCCTGGTTCAAATCACCTCGAACCTTCATAAACCTTTTTCCTTTCACTTTAAGCAGAGTAGAGTCCTTCCTTGCTCCCGCCACAGTTGGTACTCTTTCCACGAGGATGTGCCTGGGTCTTTCAGACAGGTGTCTGGCAGGCTTGTGTTTAGTGTTGCTATGAGAAGGCAGTTTAGCACAGTGGGCAAAAACAGAGGTTTAAGTTAAACAGATCTGGTTTCCAAAGTGTACAGGAATGCCTCTCTGAGCCTCCCGTGCCTCATCTGGGACACGCTTGCAAGGTATTTGTGGGATTAAGTGGTGCACCTTGTGTGCTGGGGCTGGCACTCAGTTGGTGTTCAGTGAACAGCAACTACTGTTATAAATCTCTTTACCATTAGATGCGGCTGTTGGAGGGGCGATGCTTGCCATGTTTTGGATCCTTCCATGAGGCAGTGTGCTCACTAAGTGTGGCTGGGTAACAGCAGTGCATTTCAAACGCCACCAAACTCCCCAAACCTTGTTATTGGAGGGACCTGGCCCGCCCACAGTGCATGGGATGTACCCAGTGTGACCTGTAAGGGGAGGGCCCTAAACTGACCAGAGGGACGAGCGGAAGTAAAAGGGTGCAGGAAAAAAAAAAAACCCACGTTAGGGTCTGCTCCTTGGTATAACCAATGCCAACTATGGTCACCCGTCCGGTCTTTGCATGTTCATTGGTTTGGTTTTGCTCAATAATACAGCCCAGGCAGTGAGAACACTCTAAAGTCCAGAGAGCTTAGATAAGTGGGAGACTCAAGGTCACTGGCTGGAAGCAGCTGCTGGGAGACTTGAACTCAGGGCTGCCTGGTGACTGGGGCTCTGGAGGTCCGACCATGGGACCTGGTTTGCAGAGCGTCTGCATTGGGAGGATGGAAACACTCTGCCCTCAGAGAAGGGAAAACAAACCCGCATCTGAACTCAGATCCGTTAAAGACCGGCCCTGGTACCGGCCGAGAAGATGCACAGGCCTCAGAACTGCAAGCTGGCCCGGAGGTGGGTTCACTGAGCTGGAGCTTAGCAGGTTGACAGGCACAAACTCCCAGCAAAAAGGCCCGGTGACCTTCGGCACAGCGAGCCGCGAGACTTACGGTCGCACGGACACCAGGGTCCCACCCCGCCACGATCGAGGCCAGGCGGCCATCACGGAGTGTCAGGGGCCAGGGAGGCTTTACCTGACTGACTCCTGGTATGGATGAGGTCGCGCCATCACCCTCTGAAAAGTTTGTTTCCAGACTGGGTGTCCTGGAAGTGCTGGGCCCGACGGGCATGCGCAGAGCAGCACCGGCCTTGGGGCGGAGCTAGCAAGGGCACGGGGCGGAGCGGGAGAGGGGCGGGGTTTTGTCTGTAGCCGGGCGTGGCCTAGCGCCTGGTCGTCAAGGTCGCTTAGAGCAGTCTCTGCTCAGCAACTTGCTCTTGCTCAAGAGGTTGAATTTGAGTAATTCTGCAAATGACAAACATACGCAAGTTTTTAAAAATGTCATAATGCAATACTGATGAGGCGAGAGGAATCCGACGCCCTCATCCACTGTTGCTGGGAGGTTAACTTGGTTCAACTCTTGACAACAGCACTTGGTCAGCACATGTTTACTAAGCGCCTGCTATGTACTGGTACAGATCCCATGGTGAGCAATGAACCGACACGTGGAGCTTACAGTCAAACGGGAGAGGGAGATGTGAGTCAAATAGTTATACCAAGTATTGGTCCTGGGTCCTTGGAGACCAAGCAGGAGGTTAGAGACACCTAATAGGAGGGAGAAAGAAAGGAGATAGCCTTCTAAGCAGTAGCTCTCAACGTGCGTTCCTGTACCAACACCATCAGCATCCAGGGAACCGTTAGAGATGCAGAGTCAGAAACTAGTGGTGGGACCCACAATCTGTGTTGCAAGGAACTCTCCGGGATCTGAAGTGCTTGAGAGCCACTGCTCTCAGGGATGAAGGAAAAAAAAACACTATTAAACTCACTGCCCACCCAGTGGATTCTGACTCACAGTGTTCCTGACCCTATACCAAAAACCAAACTCACTGCCATCTAGTCGATTCAGACTCATTGCGACCCCCACCAGGTTTCTAAGGCTGTAAATCTTTATGGAAGGAGACCACCCCATCTTTCTCCAAGGAAGTGGTTCTAACTACCCACCTTTAACCATTGTGCCACCAGGGCTCAGGGATGAGTAGGAGAGAAATAGGAGCTGGGGGCAGGGAAAGAATTCTAGAAAGTGAGTTGGAAAGGCCACCAGTGGCTGAAGCAGAGACAGAAAGCTTGGTGTAAGAAGAAACTTAAGAGGCCCAGCGTCTGGGGCCCACAAAAATGCTTTAATTTCTATTAAAACCAGAAGAAAAATGAACGTAGTAAAGAATATATAATAATGAATCCAGCCTGGATTATATTAATCTTTATACCAATACAGGTATAAAATATAACTCTTTATTATTATTGAGAGCTCTGGTGGCATAGTATGTAAGACATTTGACGGCTAACCAGAAGGCTGGCGGTTCAAACCCACCAGCCACTCCTCGGAAGGAAGATGGGCAATCTGCTTCTGTAGAGATAAACCAAAAGACCAAACTCACTGTTGTCAAATGGGATCCAACTCATAGAGACCGCTCTTTGGGTTTCCAAGGCAGTATCTCTGTGGAAGTAGATTGCCCAAATCTTCCTTCCCAGAGATACTGCCTCGGAAACCCAAGGAGGGGTTACTATGAGTCGGATTTGACTCGACAGCAATGAGTTTGGTTTGGTCTTATTATTACAGGAAAGGACTCATGTGAACAATAGTGCCTAAGTGCTATGAAAGTCATAAGGGGGCCTGGTGTCAGTGGAACAGTTGGGCCACATATCCTAAGACCCTTAAAATCACTGAGCTCAGTTGTTTACCTGGGCAGTCCTGCTGGGGAGAGCTGCAACCAAAAGCTGTAGGATTTCCTGATATTGATGATTGTGGCACTTTACCCTCATTAGCGTACTTAACCCTCCCAGGAACCCCATGACATAGGTATTACCATCCTTACTTTTCATCTGAGGAAATAAAAACATTAATTGCTTAAGGTCACACAGCTGGAGTTCAAAGCTAGATCAGTATGATCTCTGAGCCCATTTATTTCAATACCACTGCACCATAGCAACTGGTGTGTGAATTATGTGGATCTGATTGTGAATAAGAAGGAGATAAATTAACTTAGCCATTCATCTAATATTCATTAATTACTAGCTATTAAGGACAGGGCAGGGTGATGACTGAGACGCAGCCCCTCGACCTCCAGGACCTCTTAGAGGTCGTAAACACGATCCTCAACTCTCTTAAGCCACCCTGGGCTGACAGCTCTGGGTGAAAAGAGAAGGAAGAGTGCTTCAGAGGATTGAGTGTGGAACTGAAAACTATTGGCGGGGATTTGCTTTCTCTTTCTTTCAGATACTTTTGGACTCTTCAGCATATTTTTATACGGTAAATATTTTTGTCTGCATTTTGAGGGTGGACAAACTGCAACTTGGAGAGGTTGAGTGCCTTGCCATGGTCACACAGCAAGAAAATGGACCAGGTGGCAATCCCATCCACTGAGCTGCAGCCGGCCCTCAGTTTGGGATCTGAGGGACAGGTGGGATTGCAGGGGGCCAAGGTGGGGAGGACGGCATTCCAGCCCAAGGATACAGAGAAGCCGAGGCTTGGGTGAAGCGTCTTGTTCAATGGGGCAGCTGGGGCAGTGTGACTGGCACAGGAAAGGGCACTGAGGGGTAAGGCTCCAGAGCCGGTGAGAAGCCACAGCGAGATGGAGGTTGACCTTCTTCCTAAAGGAAGAAGAATGGCAGGTCTGGGTTTTAGAAAGACCTCTGTGAAGGTGAGTGGAGGAGACACTGGAAGCAATCAGGCTCTGGACTCAAAGAACAAGAAAAAGAGCCTGCAGACTTCTGAAAAATTCCCCTAGTCCTAGCATCAGAAAGTCAAATGCAGGATGGGTTGGCCAAGCCCACTGCCATTGAGTGGATTCCAACTCATAACAACCTGATGGGAAAAGGGAAAACTGCCACAAAGGGTTTCTAAGGCTACACTCCTTTATAGGAGCAGATTGGCTCATCTTCTTCCTGTGGAGCAGCTGGTGGGTTTGAACCACCAAGCCTTTGGTTAGCAGCCCAGTGCCTTAACCACAGCACCACCAGAGCTCCCTAGGATGCACTGAGATTTCTTTAATGTCAATAGCAGCATCCAAGGTGGTATGTACAGCATGTTCTTTCAAGATCAGAAATACTGTCTCCATGGCTTTCCTAAGGTTGGAATGAACCTACAGCCACAGCACAGGGAACGTGACAAGTATAAATCCATCCATGTGTGTGCATGTGTCTCCCCACCTGCAAAACAACACAGCCTTCAAGGTTAATTGCCAGTGTCTTTCAGGACAAATGACTTGTCTCTGCAGGTTTTGCACATTGATTGTTGGTAATAACATAATTCTGCAAAATGTGTTGAAGAGAAGAAAAGCTGTAAGAAGGATTAGTCCAGGCTGCAAAGCAGACATTCAGTGCGCAGAAGCACGACCCTGGGCTGAGGTGGGCCTTATCTGGAGACCACCTATCACCAGCCTTCTTTGAGCTGCTCCTCCGTGCCAGGTCTTGGTGGTGCAGAGATAAAGAAAATACCAACGAGCCTTAGGGAGCAAAGGCTACCTGGGGAAGAGCCCTACAACAAACCATTCATTTAAAGCAAGATAAGTGCTTTGGGGAGTGAAGAGCAAGGAAATAATTAATTCTGCCTGTGGGGAGGCAGTGGAATCAGGGCGGGCTATGCAGAAGTGGGACGGTCACAGTGAACATCATTGCTCAGAAAATAATGCTAGAAATCTTGCCTTCTGTGTGTGAGACCTGGTTCAGCCAGTACACCTCCTGTGCAGCCACCATGGTGGTGGCCCACATGTTGCTATGATGCTGAATGCATTTCTGCAGAGCTTCCAGACTAACAAGGGCAAGGTAGAAAGGCCTGGTGATCTGCTTCTGAACATCAGCCAATGAAAACACTGTGGATCGTAATTGTCTGATTGTGGGGACGGTGCAGGACTGGGCAGTGTTTCCTTCTATCTGACTGCTAACCAGCCACTCCATGGAAGGAAGACTGGGCAATCTACTTCCCTAAAGATTTACAGGAGTTCTGGTAGCATAGTGGCTAAAACACTTGACTGCTAACCAGAAGGCTGGCAATTCAAACCCGCCAGCCACTCCTCAGAAGGAAGATGGGGCAATCTACTTCCATAGTGATACTGCCTCGGAAACCCAAGGAGGGGTCACTATGAGTAGGAATTGACTCAATGGTGATGAGTTTGGGATTTTTTTTGTTGGCAATAACGACAAAAAAATGATGGTCTATAAAGGTGAGATTCCTCCATTTTTTCCTCAGTTTGGAGGATGGTCTGAAAGTTCTTGGAGGAAGTGCTGAGGTCTTGGATGGAGTTTTCCACATTAAGTTTGCCTAGTCCTTCAGAGTGTAATTGTTACAATTTCTGGGTTGAGCACTGGGTAAAGCAGATACTTCCCCCTATCTCTTCTCTCAACTTATCCCCTCTTCTCCTAAATCAAAGGAAGTATAGGAGACGCAGGCCTGCCTCTAGGGAGGGGAAGTTGAGGGCACTCTCTGAGGACTTGAAATTCCAATCAGAATTTCTCTCCAACTTGGCCAGGGGCCCTCGGCATCAAAATCATCTGGGGCCTGGGATGCAAGTGATGAATAATGCAGGGCCCTAAATCCCGCCCCACAGGTGCTTATCTCTGAGTATAAATTCACCTAGGAACATGCATTTCTAAGCTGGCTTCTGAGTGAGTTGGATATAAAGGTTGAAGATACTGGTATAACTGTTCCAAGAGGAGACATTTCATATTGAAAAGACAAAGCCACCTCCATCCATCACTTGGTAGTGCACTAGCCCCAGAGGGAAGGGGCATGGTGGTCATTCCTGGTGGTATTGGAACAATCTGCCTTTCAGATTGTCAAAAGAAATTGAGTGAATAATAAAATAGATCTATTAGAGGAAGATTATTCTGGCGAAAATTCCCAAATTGGTAAAAATGGCACTGATCCAAAACACAGAAAACAATAAATATTGATGAGGTTGCCAGGAGATTGGGATCCTGCTCCATTGCTAGTGGGATTGTAGGTTGGTTCGACCACTGTAGAAAATAGTATAGCACTTCCTCAAAAATCTGGAACTAGGATTACCCCATGATCC